AATTGGACTAGTTATGGATTAAAGTCTGAGACTAATACGTACATCATAATATAGAAACCACTTTTCAATGCCCCTAAAGTGAAAATAACAATTTTTACTATGTTATTCAATGAAAATATTGGAAATACAAAAAATCGTGCATTTTTACTCTGATGACAAGAAATCGTCGACTGCTATAAATTGGTACATGTTGGTTCTTAGTTGAAAATCACTACTCCTAAAGCAAGAATCACTATGGGACTGTAAAATCAGCAAGGGATCTCTCACCACTATAAAAAAAATTAGAAGATAATAAACAATTAGTTTTGAGAAACATTTGTCATGCGTCTAATATTAAATTCCAGTAATTTACTATTGGTGACGGGGAAGTTGCATAACGCTTCTAAATGTTCAACATTGAAATGTATCCCCAGCTTAAGAAAATGCGTCATTTACCTATTATTAAGGATTTACATACTTACGATTTGTCTTGAATTCAAAAAGGCAAATAAAAGGTGTGCATGTACATAAGCCGTAGTTGTAAGAATAACTACATCTTAAAACTTGGATTCTTATATGAATTTACACAGGGGAAAGTTATCTCGACATCCAAGGAGGTTGGCAAAGAGCACGGGAGAAGGATCTCAAATTACGGAACACTGAGAAGCAGTCAGAAGACTCAAAGGTATTATGCTACTCACAGTTGTGGTAAAATAAATATGAATTAAATTATGTTTTACATTCACCAAACACAAAATACACGAGATTCAATATACAATAATGTTGTGGAGTATCACTTCAAGTAATGTGAGGGGGGTCTGTGCATGAGACTTCAGCGACTCTGATCAGGTCCAATGATCGAGACTCGAGTTAGATTTTTGTCACTAGCTACGTAGCTCGGTCGAATTAAGGCACTGTCTGGAATAAAATTCTAGTAGACAGCTTCTTCAAGCTTCTCTTCACTTTAGTCCTTTCGTGCTTTCTCTGATCAACACCAGGTGAATGCCCGAGGAGTGCCTTAAGAAATGGGTCGCGGACCACGCGCGATCTTTCATCTCCTTATTCTCAACCCTTACACACACACACACACACACACACACACACACACACACACACATACACACACACACTTACACGCACTACACCATCCCACATGTTAGACGACCACTAAGAAGAAGCATAGAGCTTGACGGGGCATTGCTTCGCTGGGGGAGATACCTGGTGGCCAACGTGCTGGTCGATGTCGGATTTCAACACCCAGAGGAGGAAGACAACCGTCACTCATATGATAAAACATTCGCTGCCCTAACGGAGTTAATGTCCATAGCAGTCGATGTGTTCGGAAACAATAAAAACCGGGTGTAAAACGGATTCACGGAGAATACCCGCGTACAGTATGTCTTCTTCTCCCTCAGGCATTAAATCTTTTAGCCTGTTGTCACAGGATGATCACTTCTTTTATATCTGCCAATTCTTCTCCCTCTGGGTGGGTGTGTGTGAAGAGATTTTGTTGAGATACACGATTATTTTCCTTTCTTAATACGGGGTATTTCCATTTATATCTATATTCTTCAATTTCGTCATTTTGATTTTAAATTTCAAAGTTCTCCCGAATGGTCTCGTTTTTCAATTCCTCTCTTCTTGTTACTTCTAGGATCGACGTCTAAAAGTTCATTTCAGTTGCCTTTACTCTGCTACAGGATTTGGAATTTAGAACCCAGTAATAACTTCCATATGGGTCTCAAAACACTGCCATAAATGTGTAAAATTTTAGTATTCTATCTTTCCAAACTGCACTCCAAACGTATTGTTCCAATAATATTTGTCTATTTGACTGCTAGCGGCTGATTGAGGAAAGTGGGTTCCGTTATTCGATACGAGGCATCAAGTTCTGCTAAAGTCACTTCAGAGTGGCTGATACTTATTATGAAAAAAAATAAATCTTACAACTCGAAGCTACTGTGAATAAAAGTGCGCCGTTTTTCTTTAGTTATACATCGTGTGTGCTGTTTTGTGTTATCTACTGTTATGTGCTCTTATTACGATTTGTTTTTTGCTACTGTTGTGATCTGATACAAGAACGACAACGTGTGTGCTGCCCGGGTAAAAGGCAACATTGCTCTACCCCCACCTCGGCTGTTAAGTAGACAGAAATATTATCCGGACAATAAGTGTAATTTTATTCTTGTACCTCTAAGCGTACTACATGTTAGGATTTAAAATTCACTTTGCCCTAATTCCCGCTGGTGTACGCGCCTAGCAGAGCACGGGGCCCCTGAGGTGTGGTCGGTGAGAATGATTATCAAAAAAAAAAAAATGTTTATTTTAACAAAACAGTAATATATATTTCATTAGTTTACATTTGTGTTGTATACATTTTTTTAAAAGATTTAATATGTTTGTAACAAATAATGTACTGCAGTTTCCGGGTCAATGACCCCCATCTCGATCAGGTTTTTGTCCAGTTTCTCTGATATATTGAGCAAATGCTGATATGACACCTTGTTTTGCTTCGGGATGTAGATGTAGCTTCACTGTGCGCACGATTTGTTGAGCTTTTCTTTTGCTTGTAATGGTAAGAGTAGAGGGAAGGGCGAGTTGCTATATTGTTAGCAATGCAGAAAAATCCTACTTGCGATTTGTGCACCGATGCAAATAAGTGTTCTGTAACTCGAAAACGAAAATGACTATTTTTCAAATATGGCTAATCGTGCGATTTTTAAAATTTATTTTTATTTATTTATGCTAAACTTTTACTCATCTTTCAACTATTTGTAGTTAAATGACGGGAAGGGATTCTGGAACTCAAGAAAACGTGCGCAGATAATCTCCTTCCCCCTACGTCATATACAGTTTTTACTGTTTTTTGACTGAATGAATCCAAATCTAGAAGTCGGAGGCGGCGGCCGCGCGGCCGGCGCAGGTGCCGTCGTTGGTCGAGCTGCCGCCAGGGGCGCAGGCGGCGTCGGCCGTGGCGCTGGTGTGCACGCCGGCGGACGCGGAGGGCGTGGTTGCTGCCGCGGAGGCCGCCACCAGCGGCGCCAAGGCCTTCAGCAACCTGGTGCGCCCCCTGCCGCCACCCGCCCCGATGACAGTCTGACACATGTGCTTGTTTGATGCGGAATAAATGCTCAATTTTTTAGTTGAACGTTTAGTGTTTATTTAATAAATTTCTAAAATGGGAGATAAATAATATGAACATTTGCAACTTAATATAAAGAATTATACTCAGTAATATAACTGGCAAAACTTATTGCAACTTGCAATTGATTCAAAATTAGTTTATGTGGCGAAATTGCAATGGTTTCATTTATGTGGCAGAATGGCCATTACTAAACGTTCGAGTATAATTAGTGATTTTGTTTCTTGTGATATAAAAAGAAGATGAAATGTTTTTAAAAAAGATCAGTGTAAATGTAAAATAATAGCAAACAACTAAAATTATCAGTTATCTGCATTAAATACAAAATGATAATTGAAAGTACTGCAGTAACTTACTCATACCAGAGGATCGGAGAAGTCAAGTTGGTTTAGTATTTCGCATGATTCCATATCTATTTTTTGTGCTCCCAATCATTCGTGAAAAATGACTTAGATTTTGTATTTTTGCCTTCATTATCAGTTTCATGAGAACGATCAGTGATTATATATCGTATGCTGCCTACTGGAAGACAAAAAGAAAGAAGTACAATATCAACTCGACTACTTCTATTGAAAACCATTTTATATCCAACCAGTAATGTCCATTTCAGAAATATAAAATCCACAAATTAATTGGCTCGTGCTTAGCAGAAATTGACAGAGAAATATGATGTATGTTATCCGACGTTCTTAATTTGCCTCCCAAATTATCATTAAATCCGCAAATATATCTAGTGAACAGTCCAAGAAACATCTCGAAGTTGTCTAGAGTAATTGACGTAGTAGAGTCGAAATAATTAATAAATGAAAATATTAGACCCACTTCATTTCTTTTACCTTCATACTTTCTTACGTGAGCAGAAAACTTTTTTAACTAATACAAATATCATGTTGAAAAAATATCTGCCACCCCATGACATACCATTTGTATTTTAAATATTTAAATACAACTCATTTTATACATGTTTTAGATGGCATACGTATTATTACGTATACGACATTAAAGTGAAAAGTTGTTGTGTAAAAAAATATTGTACGAGGGTGTTTGAAAATTAAGATAACAAGAGCTCTTGCGAACACAATTTCCATATATTTCACTGCCTCTTACTTTGATTCATATTGTAGAGGCACTAGCACTTATGAGTTGTCAACATAGTCGCTGTAGAACAAAAGAAATTGGGGGCCCAGTCCACGACACCAGGCTCAGTGAACAGATGAAATTTCACATCAGTTTTGAAATGGCCTGCCAGTCAAATGTTTCTTCGATAGCTCTAAAATGTGCAGGGTGATTAACAGAGAAGTAATGCATATTTGCGGTTTTCTGAAACATCAATGAATGAATAAATTGTGTTTGTGAGGGTTATCAATTTTTTAATCCTCCAAACTCATGTGATCTTCGTATTAAAAAAATGGCACTGATTACCGTACCTTGTAAAGATGATAAGTTGTGTTTTAAAATTATTGTTTTCGAGATGAAATGTGTTCTAAAAAGCCAAAACAAAATAGGTAGTGACTTTCATTGAGTGCCTTATGAGGGATATTTAGTATTTCAAATAAATCGTTTATTTTAAAATCTCGTATAAAATTTAAAGTAACTTATAAATGGATTTTGTGAATGATATACAAATTACATTTTATTTGAACAGCATGCCAAAATAAGTGGTAATAATAAAAAACAGGATATTCCAATATTATTGGCTTTGAAAATAATGAAGGGTAATGTAAATTAAAGGCGACATCGTTGTTCTTGTTATAATTATATAATAATAATAATAATAATAATAATAATAATAATAATAATAATAATGATAATAATATATTCGTACAACCGTCTAAAAATAATTTCCTCGATCAGACCGTCTTATGAATTAACTGAAAAGTTTGTTAAATGCGCAGATGCCAGAAATTTTCGCCTTCCCGGTGGCCGTGATGTCGCCTGTAGCGCTGCTGCTGAAGTCGGTCATGAAGGAGTCGCCGCCCGCAGAGGCCTCGCAGAAGGAGCAGGCGGAGGCCGCGACGAAGAACGCGAACGAAAAGAGCGCAGAGGAATCCAGGAAAGCGGCGAACAAACGCTCCGAGGAAGCAACGGCAGAGAGGGCAAAAAATGTGCTGGAAGATTCCTTAAAATCTTTATCCGGAACACGAAGGGAGACTACTAAGGAAACAGAAAAGGAGGTAATGAAGATGTTGGATGAAGCAAAGATAGTGGAAACATTGAGGGACTCATCAACTTCAGCACACATACGGGTAAGTGGGCGTGATTGTTGATGCACTTGTTATAGGCATCCATTCAATGTTTCATATTCCTGAGCGTACAAAAATTCTTAAATGTTTGATTCTAAGCATCGATTAGTAAAATTCAATCAATCCCTAAATCTTGCTACTATTCCTACTGTATTTTCTAGTTATTTCAGTTAGAATGTTTAATTAAAGAATATTTGTATTCTGATAAACTAAAATTCCAATTTAAAACAATTATTTTATTTAAATATAAACTAATTTAAATTCCTCATGAATAATATATTCCTTTTGCAAGAGTTTGCAATAATACAGGTTCAAATTTACTCTACATAAGAAGCAAATGCAAATTTATTCTACATAATTTTAGAGCTGCTTTGAACTTTTCGAAGGATTGGAAGATAAATAAATTAAAGTAACAGCAAAGCATTTTAATATAAAAATAAGAAAATAATGTTTTAAAAGATGAATACTAATTCTCTTTGTCTAAATAATAAAATAATTTCCTGAAAAAAAATGTTTTTTCTATTATAAAGAAAATGTGGTCAAATTTGTGATGCACATTTTATTAATTACTCCACTTTTTTACTTTTATTTTCAGCCTGAGATTATTCGTGCATCAGGTGACTGTGTTTATGACGTGCCACCTTCGGAAGGTACCAGAGCTGAGAGGAAACGGCAAATTGTGGATCAGTTTAGCGAGGAAGAGATGAGAAATATTGAAAATTTCATGCGCAGCAAGCAGCGAGAGGTAACATTAAAATATTATTGTGTTTTAAATTTTCTCCAAGCGTACGCATAATCTGATGATTATTTTCGAGTGGATTATGGATTGAGAGTAATGAGAATGAAATATTTTTTAAAATTTATTTTACATCTCAGCATCACACAGCTCATGGTAATTTCTATCGTTATAGATATATGGGTATTAAGACTTTTCCTTATGTATGATTATCGTGCTACCCAACAAACGACGGACCAACACTAGCTAACGACTAACAAATCTACACACGTTTAAAGTAAATAAATTGGTTTGTTACGTAATTATTGATCTTCTTACTTTTTTTACTTCATTAGTTGTTCACAATACATTTTTATGAGTAAGTATGTTTTTAATAAAGTCTTCCAAAACTACTTTTTGAACAAAAAGAGCAGTTTGTTTTGAATTTTAATATTTTTTTGGTATGGATAAATGTAAAAGACATTTCAAAGCAAGTGATATCGAAATTTTCAAACGTACGAGTAACTCTTCCTTACCGTCGACCTGGATGGCCGAGGTAGCTAAGAGCGGGTACCGACTCGCCTCTTCGGTACGAGGGTCGCGGGTTCGAGTCGCATCTTGAGCATGGTTGTTTATCCCTTGATTCTCAAGTATATGTTGTCTCGGAAGGCCTTGCGTTCTACTGACCTCAGATCAGAGAAGCCCACAATTGTATTGATGTCTAGAGAATGGTCGAACATGCGTTCCCTCAGTGCAAATAGGGTAACCGGCTGTCGGCTGGAAAGAGGCCTAGGAAAAAATCTAATTCATGTACTACAATTTCTTTGTGAAAAGATGGATGTGCTTATCACAATGGAAAAGTTACAAAAAAGCAACCAAAGCTTTTTTAACCCTTCGGCGGGTGCGTAGCTGCACTCAGTGGTGCATTCTTACACTTTTGTAAATGATCTTGGCTGTCCGGGTGACGCCACGTTGAAGGCTGTGTTGCCGAGGTTTCGACCTTATGGTGGTCATCTTGAGAGCTGCTCTGCTGGTCTGGGCGTCACCCGGACAGCCAAGATCATTTACATGACTCTGGCCGCAGAAGCTCACGACTTCACTTCCTACACTTTTGTTGATTTGGTGTAAATAATTAGTGTCGCACTGCAGTGCTCAAATTTATTTTTCGTTCATTATGTTTTCGACTATGTTATACTCAAATCAGGATATTTGACACTGCCGATCGACCGATATTCATTAGTAATCAAAACTCTGCAACCGTTGCGGCACTCAGTGTCGCACGCGCCTTGTCATGCAAGTAAAGTACGAGTATTTGCGTATTCTATCCATTAGAATCAATTATTACTGTGTATCTACTGAGCTTTATGTCATAGATTTTGAAATACAAACTAATAAATCAAATTTAAATGTATTGTTTCCGAAGAAACGATAAAAGACACGTTTGCAAAATCTCAGTATTCTTTCCCCGACACATAACACGTAACCAAGACACGGAGGGAGCAAGTGATGGAATCTATTCTCATTAATATTGTTACTTATATTGGTATTTAATTAGTTATTATGAAATAAAATGTTTAAAAACTTAAAGAATATTTCCTTCACGTTCCCTAATAAGAGTGTAACGACGAAAATCGAAGAAGATAAACGCGGTGCGGAGTACCCCACGTGCCTGCTGGTGGGAAATTATGGAAACCGCCCGCCGAGGGGTTAAGGTACCGCGTTTAAATCTGAACCACAGACCTTTGTAATTAAAGAAAGTTTGACACAGTGTGTTAGAATTTCCCAGTTCAACGGAATTGCATTCGAACATTCCTATGCGTAAGTCCGTTGAAACGTCCTATTTAGTATTGAAGACATCGTTTCTCCAGGAACTGAGCGGTGACGAAGACGAGGTGCTGAGCATTGACGGGGAGATGTCGGGCAAGACGACGCCGTCCTACTTGTGCCGCGGCTGGGACGAGGACCCCACGTTGTCGTCGGAGCCCGCGACGGCCTCTGCGGCGACCGTCTCCGGCGCGCGCGACGCGAGTGCCGTGCAGACGACGTCCGACCTTCTGGACGAGCCCAGCGACCGCATGCGTCCTGGCGGCTCTCCGCCCATGGCCGTCTCCTCCCAGAGCTTCCACATCAACGACAGCTCGGTGGGTCATGGCGCCTGCCCACTTTTCACGCTGTTCGCTGGGGATTGCTTGCGAAGGATGGTTGTAAGGAATGTTGGTTGCGAAGGATGGTTGGAAGGATGGTTGGAAGGATGGTTGGAAGGATGGTTGGAAGGATGGTTGCGAAGGATGGAAGGATGGTTGCGCAGGAAGGAGAGTTAAAGGATAATTTTGTTTGTTTCTCTCACAAACCTGTCCGCTTCAGATACTTTGTTTTAATGGAGTTTATGAATAAAAGTATAAAATAACACATATACTTTAGTAGATCACGTTGGGCTAAAAGAGCGCTTTTACCTACCACAAGTGGTTTTTTAAAAGATGACAAAAAGTTTCAAAATTAGCCCCAAAAATACTTTACATTTTACAAGATGACAACTTTTGAGTGATTTACGAAAACGCCTTGTGATTGTGTTCTTAGTAGCCTAATTCATTCATTCATTCGACACTTAAAATGAGTGTTGCCTTAAGTGAACGAATCTTATTCATAAACAAACCATTGAGTGGATTATTAAGAGAGCACTCATTTCTATAAGGCCATCAGCGCGCTCCACTGTGTCACTTATGGTTGCCTCGGTCATCAGTCGTAACCAGTATAGATTATTGTGAATGATTAGATGTCCGGGTGACACCGTGTCGAACGGTGTGTAGCCAGCGTTTCGACCATCTTACCATAGTCTTCTTCAGGGCTGGTTTGCCAATACAGGGGTGAGTAAGAAGAAGACTGGAATAAGATGGTCGAAACGCTGGCTTCACACCGTTCGAGCGGTGTCACGGACAATCTAGATCATTCACATGACTCCGGCGCGGAAGTCAACGACTTCAGTGTAGGTTTTGACTACTCGTATTATTTCACGGCGTTCAACGACTGTTGTATTAGTTGTATTGGTGCTTGTATTCGCAATTAGTAAAACGTTTTATGGAAAACGATGAAGAGTTCGCTTAATATTTTGAGTTTTATACTCGTGCGTGTTTGAGTGTTTGGTACATCTCGCGTAAAAAACTTATTAGTGAAGGGAACAATTCATTGGAAAATTACAATGACGAAGAGTTCCGAAAGCGGTTTCGTTTAAATAAAACAATAGTAACAACACTTGAACCGCCAATTTACAAAATCCCAGAGACGAAAGAAGTCTAGTCCTTCGATTTCACCATTACTGAAAGTTCTCGTTGCATTAAGATTTTTAATGCAACTTTATCCTTTGAGGTGCTTCCTAAAATTTTATTAATTTGATTTATTAGACCTCTTAATTGCAAGTAAATACCTTAATAGTAAGTGATTATGCAGCATGAATAAAGAGTCAAGCAATTTGAATTAGGTATTGTAAAATCGAATTTATTGAATGGCGTTGACATTTATTTTATTATCTGAAAATTTGTTAATAATTTACGTTCAATATAGACAGATCTGTGTTTATACCATTCACCTTAGAGTACAAGTAAACGTTGTGAAATAAATTGGAAATGATGTTATGTACTTTATTATCACCAAATAATGCGGTAAATAAATTTGAGGATTAATTATGTTAAATTGAATTTACCAACCCTCAGAAATGTACTTTACTAACGAAATGACATGAATTTGTAGTCTTTACAGAGCAGCGATATGAGTTGGGACACACCAAGTCCTGGCGACTCATCACCTCCGGGGATCCCGTGGTCTCCGCCGCAATCCACAGCCTTTCTCGAGAGCTCTATGAGGAAGTCACTCGAAGAACTCACGCTCTCGGAGGCATCTGATAGAAAATCACCACCAACAAGATTACCACTGTGCGGAGCTATAACATCACCGCCAAATGTCTCCCCGTCAACCACATCGTTTACTGAATCAACAGAGTCTCCGTCGCCTCTCCAGAGGTCGTCCTCGTCACCGTCCCCTGTGACGTCACCTGTGGAATCGATTACCGCCTTCCATTTGGCCCTCGATTCTAAAGTATCGTCCCTTTCAGAGGACGCTCAACCCCCGAATGCCTCGGCAGATCAACCATCACCTCGTAGCTTGGCGTGCTCAGGACTGGTGTCACCAATGCAAGAATCACTGCCAAACTTATCGAGTCCACAATCGCCGCTAAAACACTCAACAGTTTCTCAACAAGCGTTGGTATCTTCCGTATCATCATCTCAGGAATCAACGACTTTGATGGAGTCACCCCAGATGTCTTCGACAGCAACGTCTGTGTGGCAGTTTCCTCAACAATCAGGTGAAAGAACGCCTTTTGGAAACGAGTCCAAACACACGATACGATCTTTAGTTGACGCTCATTCTGGTGAACAATCATCGACCACTATGTCATCCACGCAGTCGCTGACGTCTACTCCATCACCCACTCAGCTGTCGTCTGCATTCGAACCCACTCAACAAGGGACCTTATTATCGTCTCCGCAATCCCTTTCAATGTTGGAGACGTCAAAAGTATCAACGTTGACAGAATCACAGTCACTACAGAAATCATCTTCATCATTGTGGCAAACATCTGAAATATCAACGCTGACATCATCACTAGAGCTAAGCTCCAAACAACCAACGGATCTGGAATCCGATCATGAAACAGAAATGTTGTTTACTGGTCCTCTTCCACAACCGCTTCCTTCATCTACATTATCGTCTCCCACTCAGTTATCACCCATAGAGGAGGCTCAACCAGAAATTTCACAGTCGCCATCGCCAACAGCATCGGCGTCGTCTTATAGGGAGTCGCCTTGCTTGCAATCTCAGTCTCTACAGTCATCATCAGTATGGCAATCATCTACCCTATCTGGAATTACTTCGCCGTTTGATCCCTCTTCAAAACAATCGATTGAAACTATATTGGCAACTTCTCCAGAGCGGCCATCCAGTTCCACACATGCGTCATGCTCATCACCTCTGGAAACAGAATTATTGCAACAGCAACTTTTGCAGTCTCCTCTCTGTCTGACTTCAGTGTCATCTCTGACTTCATCATTAACTGATTCAACGCTTAAATTATCACCGTCATCAGCAGTGGAATCGCTTCCTCAATCCCGAGTCATATCTCCAGTGGAACCGAAACTACCATCATCACCAATGTTGCAATCACCAACAGTTTCAGGAGCTGACACACCATTGGGAGATTACTCAATGAGTACGGGTTTAAGATCTGCCTTTGAAACAATTCATATATCGGGGGTAACATCACCTTCGGGAGAGGATTCAGATCAGTCGCCGCCAACGTCACGTCCTGTTTCGGGATCGCTCCACTGCCTCTCGTATTCTACGCTGTCAACCTCCGGTTCGCCTTCTCCCTCGCAATCATCATCACTGCCGGAGTCTCCCACGTCTAATTTGCCTCTGCATCATTCAACGGAAGTCGGAAGCACTGTGGATGCATTTTATGAAGCGATGTCGACCCCGTTATTGCAGCAACATGAGATCTCGTTGGATGCAGCGTCCAAACAACTGACACCTGCTGAGTCAATATCATTGACTGGTTCTTCAGCATCTTCCAGGTAATCACATTATTTTTGCGTTACGGACAAAAAATTGATAAATCACAACGCAAAAGTATGTTCCAGTAAATTGAACAATCTTACCATCAGTTGTACGATGTGAATGGCTGATTGTTAACATATAAATGAATGAATATTTTTTGTATTACAAATTTCTGACACCATCGATGAATATTGACAAATTAGTTACAATTGGGAATTTAAGAAACGTGCCAGAACCATGGAATAATTTTTACAGCTGTTATCAAGTACTTTTAACTTTAGCTCCCGTATTCTTATTTGAACCAGACAGTTACACTTCTAATATGGAATCAGGTTTTCAGATGACACTTCAAAAATCGAGTTAAACTCGGAAGTACTGATTCGGAATACTCATAATTTATTAATAATATTTATCATATTTTTTGTTTATAGTAATTGTTCCATTGGCGCACCCTCAGCATGTGCTTAAATTGCGTTATATTTTCTGTTTGGCGCCCAATAGGCTCTCGTTGCTGATATATTTTGGATCTCATATTTTCCACTGGGGAACGCCACAACAATGGCCTCATTAATATTTTCTACTAGTTAAGAGGCTTACAATTTTTGCAAGTATGAAAAGAGGATTTGCACGGGAAATGTTGTAAGATAAAGTTTTGCGGGATTTTAGCCAGAGTTATTTCACATGTTATAAGTACATGGATATTAAGGCTAAATTTCCCGCCCTTCGAAAATCAATGTACCTTTAGCTGGGATCTAACCTACGCTCTGGGGGCGAAGAAAGTCTAGTAAGACAACCAGTCAGTTACCGATGAGTGATATTTATGAATAGTCCTTGGAAAATTGAAAATTGTTTCTGGGCCATTTGAGTCACTTTTCAGAACTTTCATTTTCTAGGCGTCTGGTCTTAGTCTGGTTATTAATAGAGAGCATGCTAATATGTTGAATTATAATATGAAGAGATTATATAGTGAAAAATAAAACATGTACTGTGTTCTAATGTCTTGTTCCGTGATCAGTCGTAAATTAACATATCTTAATTTGTTACGAAGAGTGTGCAGTAGGGGGAGGAGGGGGAAAGTGTGCAGTTGAGAGCGGAGAGACAGAGTATGCAGTTTAGTGCGGAGGGGGAGAGTGTGCTGTTGGGTGCGGAGGGACAGAGTATACAGTTCAGGGCGGAGGGGGAGAGTGCTTAGTCGTGGGAGTGAGGAGAGAGAGTGCAGCCGTGGGCAGACGGGGACAGAGTGCAGTTGGAGGCGAAGGGACAGAGTATGCAGTTTAGGGCGGAGAGGGAGAGTGCTTAGTCGTGGGAGTGAGGAAAGAGTGTGCAATCGTTGGCGGAGGGACAGAGTGCAGTTGGAGGCGAAGCGGCAGCCAGAGTTGCGTGTCGTAGTCGCGGCGGGTGGGGGGCGGAAGCGCTGACGCCGCCGTGCGCGTTGTGGCAGGCGGGCAGCGCGCTGCTCGGCCGCTGCCGGAGCGCCCACGCCGCCCACGTCGTCGCTGGAGGGCGGCAGCAGCAGCGGCTCCTTCCTCCTGTCGTCGCTCCCCGCCACGCTCAGGGCCCTGGACCCCGCCGCGCCCCTCGCGCCCCGGCCCCGCCGCGACCCCGCCGCCGACCACCGCCTCTCCATCGTGGTAACGCACCGAGCAACCACGCATTTCGAGCAGATCGAGCTCTTTATAGAGCAGGCGAATCCACTCATTCGGTATTCGGCGAGTTACGAGAGATTTTTATAAGAGGAGAACGCTTTGCCAGCTACTACTTGGCTACTGATGACAACTTAATTGTGGGTTATGTCCATGCACTCAATTCAATGCGTTCGTTTAGGTAGTTCATTAGTACATAGTTTTCACCCCCCTCTCTTGTAATACCATCGCTCTACATGGCACTCGTTTTCCGACCTGTCAAACTGGTCTCTTCGTGGAGTAACACCTTAATAGTTAGCGACCGCTCGCTATTAGTGTGCATGGGTTGCTTGCGATTTAGAGAGGGACGAAAATTTGCTGTTCGTTCCGCTAACTGCGGGTCGGTCTTTTGGAGGAATCGAACATTCGCTGAGCACGTCTGTTGTCGGTTTTTGAGCCAGCAGTATCTCTGTACTCGGCGAATGCCGAATGTGTTGTGTCGTCTTAATTAACACGGCATTGTTCAGGAATTTTTTATTGCAATAATACCTTTGGTAGCTGGCGCTCTTGATGTTGGCCAGATTTTGCGTAAAGATGCTTCGTACAAACACCTATAACTGCACTTCCTTTGCGTGAGGTGAGGATCGCGAATAAAATTTACAATCTTTGCTTCAGATGTATTTAAATATCTTAATCTCAAACCAATATCATTATGATTATTATCAAACCAATAACAATATAAAAGGGCCCTGAGCTACTTCGGAATTTATTTTTGATTTCAACAATAGATACCCTGTGTGAGCTGCATACACTACAAAGCCATTTTGCAATTTATTGCAAATGAAAAAGCACAATTTACGCTAAACATTTGATTCGTAACAACGATACGTTTAAATATTGGTATTGAAACAAAATGACTCCAGTCTTATTAATTTTTTTTGCCCATATGGTTGTAAACTACTTCACTAATATGTAATAGATTTTGCAGTACTTGTTTAACAAATTTTTTTATCTCGACAAAATGTGAAAGAAATTGACATTCTTTACTTACAATGTTTCTACTCTAAATATAAAATTAGCAGATTTAGAAGTAACAAAATGTAAATGCATATATATTTATTTCACATATTATAAATGTAATATAGAAAGATTGAATGATTCATGGATGCCCCTTTTTGTGTAAATTACAGGAGGAAGAGACAACAGTGCCCTCTGTGGACAGCGGAGGTGCGACGGGCACTATTTCCAGCGGCAGCTCGGAGAGCATCCCGTGCAACCTCGCCTCCTCCTCTGACTACGACCCCATCGACATGTCCTACTCTGGAGTCAGCGGTACGTAAACTTTGGAAAAAAGTTTTTGGGGGAAGTGTTAAAGGTAATGGAAAACATTGCGACTAATGATGAAATAATCACGCCCTCTCTTGTGTTAGGAAAGTATATTGCAGCAGATATTGTGGTGGAAGTTATATTTGGCGCTTTCAAGCTAGAAGTTAAACTTTTATTGCATCAAATGTGGGTTTCAATGTTGCAATGTTTTCGCAGATTTTCTGTGGTTTTCAGACGTACCAACTCTAACGACACCAGTACAATATGTCTCTTACATCAATTTTATATTTGCTTGAAATGTTTTCTGGTGGAGTAAGCATAGGATTTGATCTGGAGGTTTTAATTTTGTTAGAGATCAGGTAGGTTGGCTTAGATAGCGAACTAGCTTCCCGTGTTGTAGTTCCGGTCGATGCAAAACAGAGCAGTAGCTTTGCTTTAAAATGATCTGTTTCTGCAGCTTTGAGACGACGAAAAGCTCAAACAGGCGGAGTTCATGGTAAAGGGAATATGTCGTTCACATCTCTCTCACCCCGCGAGAATGGGACTAGACCCAGAACTGGGGGACACCGTTTGCTAGCCGGCAACGTCGGACAATGGCCCAAAAATGACAAATACACACATACAATTTTGCTAGACCAGAGATCTGATATCTGTCATGAATTCCCAGTCCTTAGGAGTGGGTTTAACGGGAGCACTGTCTCTAGTTCACGGCGTCGGCTTGCAGGTTTTTTCCCAACAATGTATCTCCTATCTCCGCAGCACCGCCCCAGCCGGAACAAGCTCTAAGCTCCCGTCTGGCCTCCAGGCATGTGAGGAAGTGTAGTGAGGGGTGAAAATAGGACTAGGATGGAAAGATCACGCGCGGTCCGTGGCCCGTTTGTTAGTACACTACTCCGGCATTCACCGGGCATTGATCGGAGAGACCACGGCCAAGCGCATCGCATTGCAAGCGAGTGTGAAGTGTGTGTGACTGGGGCGCGGTGGTGGGTGCGCAGGCGTGTGCGGGTGCTCCCGCAGCGAGAGCTCGCGCTGGTCCAACGACACGTGCACGTCGGAGGAGGAGGTGTGGGAGCTGCCGGCGGAGAAGCGCTGGGTGCGCAGCGCCCCGCCCACCACGCGGCCCTCGCAGGTGCCCCCGCACCCGGCCCCGCCCCCTCCGCCGAGCCCCTTCGCCGCCACGTCGCACACGCCGGTCAGCCCCACCTCACCCCTATTAGCGTCCTACACAATTTGAAATGTTAAAAAAATATATCTTTAAATAATGTCGTGTACAACTTTTCGGTAAATTTAAGTAGTTTTTTATAATTTTAAGTGCATTGGAGGACAGTTCTAAAGAACTACTTTCTTAAAAAATGTGTCTAACTTGTTCTTCACTTTTACTTCTCTGATGGAGCAAAGGACGCTTAAAAATGGCGCTGGTTTCATTTTCAAGAGTTTTCGAAAATTGCAAAAGTTATAAAGGATGCGCGAAATTATAAACTGTGTTAACTCAGTAGTGTGCGCTATTTTTACAACTTCATTAATGATTCACAGTCTTTCTTTATCTACAATGACGTCCAAAATCCTCCTTCATTGAAAAGGTTATTTTGAAAACGGACCACATTCACTTGCAATTTGGCAATATTTCAGTTAAAATATTTCTAAAAGAGTTACTCGTGCATAAAATAAAATAATAATTTTAATCTTTTAATGATTTCTAAGAAATTTTAGTAGAGAGAATTTTCTCCCCCAATGTTTTTCTCTTCCTCTCAAAAATTTTCAAACACGATAGATGTCGGCTACTTTTCAAACCGGACTCGTCCAATTTCATTCTTCCAGTATTTTAG